CCCCAAAACCCCAAAACCCCAAAACCCCAAAACCCCAAAACCCCGTTTGAGATGGACATATTTGAACTAAAATTTTGATTATAAATTTATAATTAATTATTACTCATAAAATCTTCAAGTAAGTGTCAGATCCGAAGGTTCACCTATGGAGTTTAGGTAACAAGACCTCTCTAGATCTTACGAAACTCACCATTTATCTGAAGTAGCCATTTAAGTGGAGTTAAACAGTAATAGAATCATCTTTTAATTGATAGAGATTTTTGGGATATCAAGTCTGTACTGGCTCGACACAAATAGTTTCATTATTTTATGACACATTTCCACCATTTCTCAAATTTAAAAATTCTTACTTTTGAGCAAAGGAAGCTACTATTGAAGTTTATATTTGACATAATTATGCGCAAAAAGCTCTATTACACTAGAGTTATCAGAAATCGCATCTAAGAGGCGGTGTTAAGCCAAGTTTTCCAAAAAGTGGATAGAAATCACCAACCCATAAGAACCTACTTTACTAGAATAGATTCAATGCAAATGGGGTGCATCAAGACACTTGATGCATTTTATAACTCCAGCCATTACGTTCTAAAACCCAAACGCGATTTTGGTATTTTTCAAAAGTTTTGAGCAATTTAACTCGGTTCTGAAAAATATTCAGGATCGATTCACATTTCTAGTGAATAATAAGACTCCAGTAAATGAAGCATCAATAATATTTTGATATATGAATGCCTAATATTTATTTAGATAAAGCAATGCAAGCAGAAAATAGAACAAATTTTGGCTCAATATTCAATAACGAAGCTCCTCAGGAAAGATTTTTCTTCAACCTGGAGAAAAACGAGGAGGACTCTCCAAGCTCGTATGAGGTTTTTGCTGACAGCACTCTCTGTGGAACTCACTTTTTAGCTCCTATTGAGAATTATATGTCTACTAAAGGCAGTTTACCTAGCACAATTACTGATTTTAACCCAAACACTATACTCATGAATCCAGTAAAGGAGGATGGTGACCAGATATTCAAAGATAATACTTATTTGGTACAAGATAGAGCTAAGCCAGCATTCAAACCCCTTTGTAATCAGAGACAGAACATTGGTGGCATTGATGATACTCTAAATCAGATCTTCTCAGAACCGAAAATAAAAGTTCGATCCCATAAATCCAAAGGAAATCTAGCGGTTAGGAAGGATGTTGTAAACAAGAACATTCTTCGGATTATCTCTCGATACTTCAAAGAAATCTTAGCTGCAAGGTTTCCTTGCTTCAGAAGATGAGCAAAGAATCCACAGAGTCTTGATCAGCTCCTGACTAAATTTTGCATGCTGATCTTTCCACACAATTTCGATTCCGACATGAAATACACATTAGGTGCTTTTGTGTTAGGATCTAAGATGAAGATTCTGAAAGAAGCCAGAGAAGAAAATCCGTTTCTATTTCAGAAGGCTGATCACATCCATAAGACTCTGTCGAAGTATACTCATAAAGATCTGAGCATCCTTTTGAACTGGGATAGAAAGATCTCCCTTTGGGAGATCTTTGATCTATCCTCAAACCAAAACACGCTGATAGATCAAGACAATGAGATGAATAGGACTGAGCTTGAAACTTGCTTCTCAACACCCCAGACCCAAGGAAGGTCAATTTCATTGATCTTCATGCACTTCTACAGAGAGGGGATGGACTTTTTCCATCAGCAAGATACTGTCCAAAAGCACGAAAAAGTGTATATCAGAGCTCTTGATAAATTCAGAAAAGAACTAGTAACTGATTGTTAAATTTCCAAATCGTTCTCTGGATCCTCCTGTGTATGAGGAGGGTCATAGAGTCTTTGGATCGTAATCGATTCATAATAATACTAATTTCATCTATTTTTGATAAGTTGGTGAACCATGTAATTTTTCTACCCTTCGAGTCACCAGGCTATTTGTTGAGATTTATTAGGTCTTGCAAGGTTGATCCCTTTAAATGATATTAAGAAAACTAATGTTAGCATATTTGTCATTTTTATTTATTGATTTATAAATTTTGAAAATAAATTTTTAGATGTTATTAACATATCCTTTAAAACTTTTACTGTCAGAAAATAAATCTAGTAATCCCCATAAACTCTTGAACATATCCCCAAAACTAAACTATATCTTCACATCCCCCTTCCCAATGCACTCTCACTCCATCTCTTCCAAACCCCCCAACAAAAGTCCCCCTCTCTACCCTATCCTCCCCTTCACTCTCCCCTAAACCACCTCAAAACGCCCCTAAACGCTCCAAAAATTCTCTATTCCCTCTAAAAATCCTCTAATGACTATTACCCTACCTAATTATTCTAAAATAATTCCTTCGACCAGTCATTATTCAATAAGCCAAACTCTAGAAGGGGTTTTGGGGTTTTGGGGTTTTGGGGTTTTGGGG